CACCCAAGGACTCTTCAAAAATAGTTACGATAGAATTCATTTAAAACACTTTTAGTTCTGCTTCTCCTATCTGACAAGTTCTGCTTGAGCACACTTACTTTGGTTTGAAAGAATTTCTAGCACTAGGCAGAGGCTCCCTTTACAGAGTGAATCTCAGGGCTGGGTGTGTGCACTAGCGTCACACGACAGTGTCTTTGAAAGACCAACACACACAATAAAAGCACTCGTCATGAGAAAAGGAAATGCTTCCCGAGATCCCCCCCATATCCTGACTTGCTTAGTCTGACGCAGGCCTGACGCAGGTTGTGTTTGGCTTCAAGCTCGCCATGTGATTTCACTTGAAACCACTGAGCCAGAGGGCTTTGGGCTGGAAGCATGTTGCTTAAAGAGACATGCTTCAGTAACCTGGAAAATTACTCTCTGAATGGTGATTGAAAAATGAGTAAAAATTATTTGAATAAGATACTTTCCAAAGATCATCCATGCCAGTTTCTTCTTCTATGTATCTAAAATGCTTCTGCTTGCCAAATATAAATATATTATATAAACAAAGTTCTTCTATATTCCCTAAATTCTGAAGATCACATTTCTCTAAAGTGGAAACCAACGCTTTTGCTCTGTCCTCAGCCCCACCCCTACACACATCTGAAACTTGTTGGAAAGTTTAAAGGCTCTGGTTATGGGAGGGGAGGGGATTCCATTAATAATTTGAATATGGCTTTTTGGGTAAAACAAAGGCAACATATTAGGAAAACTGGGTTTGTACCTTCAAGGGGCACTGTTTTCAAAATGTACCTATGGACTCGACTCATGAAATTTTGGGTTTTAAAGGCTAACAACTTAACAACAGAGACTAAACAACAAAAATATTTTTATTTTTATATGGGCCTTTATGGCTATGACAGCTACATCACTCTGATAAGCAAAAGAGAAGAACAGAGATATACTAATTGAAAATTCCTTAAACTCTCCTTCAAACTCAAGTGCCACAACACTTAAAATACAAAAGGTCATAAAATAACACCGAGTAATATTCTCAATAACAGTAAAGATAATTAGTAACTTGAATTAGTGTCGGGTTTATCAGGAATACATGTTAAGTGCTAACAGTAAAAACTTCAAATATATATAGGTTGATTTGCAAAGGTTGTCTCAAAATACTGTTTATTAGTAACCTTATCTACGTACGTGTGTGTACACACACACACACACACACACACACACACACACACACACACACACAC